TTTCTGTTGGTAAAGGAACATTTTGACCATAGTACTCTATATGAAGGTTTTCACTTAATTTTCGTTTAACTTCATGACATAGTGGACTGAAATCAAACATTCTGTTAATTCCACTTCCTAAACAAACTACATCTGAATTGTCAGAAATGTCAACATTTGATTTGCTAACCTCAGTGCTGTCCTTGACACATTTTTTCAGTTTTTTCACAACCACACATTCTTGATTTTCTTCCAAACTCAGTTTTGAACCCTGCAATTTCCTTTTCTTATTAACACACTGCTGTTTTTGCGATTCATGGACAGGTGCTTTACTTCTTTTAACACAAATGCCACTTAATTCAAAAATCTTTCGGTTTCCTCCAATAGAAGTAGACAAATTTTCAATGTGCCTTAAAACACAGCTCAGTGTATTGTAATATACAACCACACTAAAGCCATTACCATCAACCATCCCAGTACTACTACGGGCATGAGAATCCACTATAGCAAACTGGCCATTTTGCTTAATAATACAACAGGTACTACCACTTAAAGTTAAAAAGCATGTATCATATTTTTCAAACATTGATTGTAAACCATCAAGCAATGTTACACATGCACCAGACAAAATAAAATCTTCATCAACCACATCTACAAATCCAGAAACAAAGTCGCCATATTCAAATTGAAATGCATTTGAATTAAAATAGTATTGTTGAGGAAGATCTTGAATGCACAACAACTTGTCCTTCGTTGGATCACTGATTGAACCACTTTGACGCAAGATGGTATACAAGCTGTCACCATCAATCACAACATTATCTAAATCTTTTTTCCCCCATGAGAACACACTACGTACACTGTGCTTTGCCATTGCAGCCAAACTAATTGCAACACACTGTTTTCCTCCCCATTGGAACTGGTCATGAGCCTGATGAAATGATCCACGAATGCTACGAACACTTTCTCTTTCTTTCGATGTAGATGGCAGGCTTTGTTCAGTATCTTTGACTGCACATGTACTTCTTTCTCCAACATCACTAATGTCAAAGGATTGTATATCTGATGAGCTGATGTCTACATTAATACCACAAATACTAAACTTATCTGCAGACAAGCTCGTCATTAAATTATCCATATGAAAAACTAGGTCTTGCCAGTTTGTGTTAAAAACAACAACAGAAGCACCAATGTCAGAGCCTAAACCACATGCGTTACGGACATTACAGTCTACAACGACATAGAAATCGTTATGTCTCACGATAGTGCACATGTCTCCATTAATAGTCATTAAACAATATTCATGACTGAACAGCATCTCTTGAATTTTCTCATACAGCTCGTTCTTTGATCCATCCAATGCCTTTCCTAATTCTACATTGCATGTTTTATTGAAAACATTATATTGCCCAGCAAAATGATGAGGAAACTGACAGTCTCCAATAGACTCAGCTTTCATGTCCTTAACTAACTCTCTTCCCTTATTACGAATGTCTTCAAGATCTGATTTCTGCCAAGTACACACATTATGTATCTTGTGCTTGACTATTGAAACTACACTGCAGGCTACACCTGTAAGCTCTTCATTCAGTTGTGCAGACCGCAATCTTACCTCATTGCCTGCTACGATGCCAGACACATCTGGACACACACAAGCAGGGGAAATAGAGGTATCAGTCTTACTTTTGTTGTTCAAGTTCGGGCGCCGCTTACGAAATCTCTTCAGATTAGGCATCTAAGGAAAAACATAAGACCACATTAAAATTACAAAACAATATATAATTATGTACTTTAACACATACATCAATATTTAAAATAATACATAATGTATTTATAATCTTTATACATTTCAATTATAAACGAGGGTTGATTCACACTTTAAGTCAAATTGAAGGCTTTTAAGGATCTGAAGGAATAAAAAATAATACTGTACATTAGGGGAATGATATTTTGACTGAAAATCAAGATATTTGGAAGGTTTTGTTGATGAGAATGTGTTTTTGTGTTGGTACCATGGTGTGTTTATGTCTGTTGTTGACTCATGAGATATTATTCATATTCTATGCAGTGGTGGAAGGAGCTTAGCCTGGACCGATGACAACGCAGTGCTTAAGTACCTGAAACTAGCTTCTCCTTATGGTGAATCCCTATACCACTCTACAGATAAAGCTTTGAGGGAATTTTCAGTTTGCATTCCTACCCTGAAGTGATAAAATAAAAGTTTGTATCAGATTTTTAGGCAAGACAAGTAGTTTGTTTAGGCATGGTTTGTAGGGAGTTACAAAACTGTGCACATATATTCAAACGCACATAACTATTGAATTAATTCTTAATGTGCATGTGAATGCCATCAGCATTTATCACCCCAGATAGCAAACTGACATTGAATCAACGTGGAAATATGACATCGAAACAACATTGATCTGACATTGTTTTGCTCATCGAATTAACGTTGAACCAACGTCAGATGCGTCATTCTTTCAAAACTAACGGAAAATTAACTTGAAATCAACGCGTTGTTTCAACGTTATGAAAGCAAACCAATTTTCGATTTCATTTAGCTTTGAAGAATGCCGCGTCTGACGTTGGTTCAACGTTAATTCGATGAGCAAATCAACGTTGTTTCAATGTCATGAGAGACGTCGTTTCCACGTTGATTCAATGTCAGTTTGCTGTCTGGGACAGGTTCCTGTTTAAAGTTTGTTTAGAGAGAACGGTGTCATCTTAGCGGCCCCTAATTTAATAAAAAATTATAATTACGCCGGAAGTGAATCAATCAAAACTAACTTTAGCTGGAAATAACATTATTCAAGAAGGACCATAAACCAAACCAATCCCTGTAACCTTAAATTATATGTTCATCTCTGTAAAGCTGCTTTGAGACAATCTACATTGTTAAAAGCGCTATATTAATGAAGATGACTTGATTTGACCTGACATGTCAGTTCACAGCAATGACAGAAATAATAATTTTTATTTTTATTAAAGGGCAATATCTGTTAGCCTTAAAGATTTATTCTTATTTGATTGGTTCATTAAACACGCCAGTTACCAGAACACATGTTTATGTTCATTTGGCTCAGAAATGTTCTCGTTGCTGAAATGGTAGCTACTTTTAATGCACACATAGGATACGTTTAAATAAATGAATAAATAATCTAAACAAACAAATAAACCATGTTTGCTTTTTAGGCTGTGCACTAATAGGCTGACTAGGCCTATATGAGCCAATACTGAATTCGAGCTGGTGTGTTAAGAAAGAAATTGTCTGTGTTTTCAATACATACATCCTGCTCATGCTGGCCTGTATGATCTGCTGTATGTAGGCCTAGTATCTGCAGTATTCATAATTTCACCTGTTTGCTGATATGGGGGATTACAGAATTATAACTATTTTACTAAAATTAGTTACAATAATCAATTTTTTTCCCTTTTATCGTGTATATTAAGAGCATCTCTAAATTATGCACCATCACATGCAATACCATTGAGTAACCACTAGATGGCTTGTAGCCCTATATATAGGCTACACAATGCTGTGTATTCCCTGGTTGTTGGGTTTTTATTCAAACATAATTGCTTTTTGTCAAAGTTGAGTTCATGTTGATTTGGAATCTGTTTTTCATTACAGTAAACTCTAGACACAGAGAAAGCATTTTGTTATTCATAGGCTACTAGCTAAATATAATAGTTTGATCAGTCACATTAAAGTAATCATCAATATTTACGTAAAATGAAAAACTTGTAAAGAGCTGTTAATTTCAGTTGTTAATATTGTATGTAATTTCACTGACTTTTGAAGTTATTTTATGAAAATTGGGATTTTCTAAAGAGTAGAAATTAAAGAAAGTAGCCTAAAATACACAAAACATTTGAAAGAGAAATGACACTCCAAAACAATCTTTCCCCTTTTTACCTGACAATGATGCTCTTTAAGTGTTGGCCAACACATTTCTTAGGTAATTCTTAGTATAGTTTAATGGAGAGGAGACCGTTTCAGAAAATGTTTTGAGTTTCAATGTTCAGAAATAATTTTATACTAATTGTTGTACATTTTAAAGTTCTACAATATGTAACCATAACAACATAACATTATCATCTTTGTGCTTTAGAGCTGGCATTAAACATGCTATATGCCTAGTATTGGACACTAATAACCTCGCCAGAACATTGTCATTCATTTTAGTAAATTTGATTAAAACTTGATATACATTATATATCATTTACCATTATAAACAGATGAATGAATAAATATGCAGATAACACGAAAAAGTAGCAAAATTTAGGTCTACAACTACAGAGACAAAAATAGCACCAGACGTCATTAAGACGTTGTTTTTTGGGCTAAATCAAGTCGGCCCGTCATAGCCTTCATTTAGCCCAAAAATAGACGTTGAAAATTGGGCTTTGTTTGGTCCGTCTGATTTGGTCAAAATTTAGCCCGAAAATAGACATTGAAAACTGGTCTCTATTTGGTCCGTTTGATTTGGTCCAAATTTAGCCCAAAAGACTTTGTACCTATTTTTTTTCGTTTTGAATTGTTTTGTTTAAAGATATTTCCAGCTCTCTATAGGCTATGTCTCATGTCTTTGAGACATGCTGAGTTGTGTAAGTTGAAAGGCATTTTTTGTGCATAGTAAAACGTATCTGCAACATTTTCACAGATAATTGTGCGTGTATTAATCGTTATGATAGGCCTAAAATCATAATAAAGGCTGTGTACAAAAAATCAGATGAGCCCAGAATATGAACGCGTTTAATTAGCCTACACATTAAGCATTTTCCTCCAAACCATATAACGCTTGGCTTGCGGATTTGAATGTATTTAAAAAATAGAATAGTTTATAATTGTTCCTCATGTTTTATCTGTAATCTGTGTAGGCTACAGTATGAGGAAATATGTGCATGGCTGCATGCCTTATGTAGGTTTTAATCAATGTTTTTGCAAAAAAAAAAAATCTACACCACGTTTACCATTTTTTAAAGCTATATTATATTATTAGACTATTAGCCTACATGACTTCAAACATTGTTTTACATTTTTAATAGGATACTGCCTATGGGCTTCATATGATCATTCCATTTATAGTTTGACGATGGCCACAGGCCTACTATCCACTTAATAATGTATCAAGTTTCAGCTGATTATCAAATAATTCACTCCATCTATTCGTGTTTTAATCAATGGGCGCACGCGCTGAACATTCGAGCCGCATTTGAACTGGAGCGGACAGCGTTACCATGGAAACCGGTCGGTAGCTCAACTGACAACAAGCAGCACAGCTCCACCTCTCGCTGTTGTTTTCACTACTTTCAGGTAAGTTTAGTCCCTAAAATTACACAAATAGTACATACAAATGTTTCCGACACTTTCTTTTATGTAAAAGACTTGCTTCCGTTGAATATTTACTTGGTTAGTGTGTCTTAGAAAAAGTCTGTTAGCATCTCAACTGTTAGGCTAACTAGAGGTAACTTAAGTTAGGTTAACTAGACTTGAGCAGTAAGTTTGGGCTTTTAATCGTATCTTACTGTATGTGTAGATTAGATATTTTGATAGTTTTGTAAAGGTTTTGTTGGCAATTGGTCAATGGATGAATGGAATTAAGCTAGCTAATCGTCAAAACAGTGTTATTAATACAGTTTATTGATGACGTATACTTTGTACAGGTAACGTAATGAACACAGAACGAATTATTTATAACGTAATAATATTGGTTGTCTTTCTCTTTTCAGTGTTGTTAGCTCTAACCCCAATTAATCAGACCTGAGCAGCTGACTAAACATCACCAGAAACTCTGCAGAGCCCTGGTCTGGTCTGGATGCCACTGTTGTAAGTCATCAATCTAGCTAGCAGTCATCCTGCATCTCTGATGTGTCATGTTCAGAACAAAGTTTTGCTCTAACCTAGTCCAGCACACCTGAACAAGCTAATCAAGGTGCTAAACTCTGGGTGCTTATCACTCAGGTCCCTAGCTCAGTTCAGTGGTTAAAGGGATAGTTCATTTTTTAAAATAAATTTTTGGTATGTTTTAGCTTATCTCAAGGGCATCCAAGATGTAGCCTAGGTGTCTTTGTATCCACAGTATTTTCAATTTCTATATTTTTAGGTCAAACCGTTCTTGTCGGTCAGGCATATAATGCAGGTCTCTGGTCACCACCTCAAAGAGCATGCACAGAGAAGTCCAAATTAATGACTCATAAATGTAGGTACACATTGATGGCCTAAGACACGAAACGAGCGGTTTGTGTGAGAAAACTAACAGTATTTATATCGTTTTTATCTCTTGTAACCACAGCCACGTCCAAGTGATCTGAGGGCGTGGGCTCGTCGGTCTGCGAAAGTGTCGGAAAGTGCCGGAAGTGATCTCTCGCGCGTGTACGTCACTTGTTTACACAGAACAAAGATTGTAGGTAAGACGGCTAATTGAAATGGTACTTATTCAACGTTGTATGTTGATATATCGAAATCGTCTTCCATTGCGATTTTCTCTATAAATATGTTTAGATCTTCACAGTGAAGGGTAATACTTCCGAAATCTCTGTTTAAACAATTAGAGATCACTTTCGCGCTTTCCGGCGCTTGCGCAGACCGAAGAGCCTGCACCTTCACATCACTTGGACGTGGCTGTGGTAACAAGAGGTAAAAATGATATAAATACTTTCTCACACAATCCGCTCGTTTCGTGTCTTAGGCCATCAATGTGTATTTATATTTACGAGTCATTAAATCATGTTTCATTTGGACTTCTCTGTGCATGCTCTAGTAGGTGGTGACCATAGACCTGCAACTAAAAATGACCTAAAAATATAAAAATTGAAACTACTGCGGAAACAAAGACATCTACATCTTGGATGCACTTGAGGTAAGCTAAAACATACCAAAAATTAATTTCAAAGTGAACTATCCCTTTTAGGGCTGTCTTAATCACAAAATCCTTACAGTACACTGAAACATTCACTCCCTAAAAACTCACTATTTTCCCTTATCAGAAGTTCTGAACCTCAAAACTTTAAATCACACGAGACAGTTCCCTACAAAATGTCGCATGATAGATGATTTTAAAACAAAAACCAATATTATATTTCAGCATAAACATGTAATGTCTGATCAAGCAAACATTTACAATTTATCTGTGACTGAAATCTTGCACGTGTATAGGAAAAACTCAAGTGTATACTTTACATTTCGGAGAGCCATTTTTTTTTTTTTTAAATGTAAATTTTGGTTATTGTTTTCTTTCTCACCAGGCTAAAGTATTTAAAGTAAAAACTTCAGTCGTGGCTTAATAATCCGGGGTTGGGATGGTGGAAGGAGCAGAAGAACCAGAAGATCGGAGATCAGGAAGACATCTATTGGTGCCCCTGAGGGAACTGATTTAATGTGTAAAATTTAACCAAAAATGTTCGTCATTCACCTTCATGTCGTTGCAAACCTGTAAGACTTTCGTTCATCTTTGAAAGATATTTTTAGTGAAATCTGAGAGCTTTCTGTCCCTCAATTTCACAGTTTATGCAACTACCACTTTCATGCTTCAGAAAGGTAAGACATTATAAAAATAATCAATAGAGGGTTTGCACCTACGTCATGATTTGGCCAGTTACCCGGATGCGCGGCTATATTGGAGATACTCGGAGGTAAACAACAGCATTGATTGCACTGTTTATGTACTACTGAACACATTGTTACACTAATTTATGTCTTCACTACGAAAAAACACATGGAAGCTGCAAAATCATATAGGCTAGACTTAGTAAGCAGGAAAGAGCGCAGATTTTTGACGAACTAAAGTTAATATCTGGTAAAGATCTGAACGAGCTAGTTTCTCTAGCCCTTACTGCTATTCATCCTTCTATTTCTTATCCCACATAGGCTACGTTCAGATTGTCAGTCCAAAAAAAGCACATGAAATCCGTTTCAAGCTACATCCATATGTCCACAATCCTATTAAATCACATATCTGGAAATCTGCTTCAGTCCGAACGCTCTGATCGGATTTCGCGTGGTATGTGACTTTCTCACGCCACGTAAATTTTAAAGTCAGACATTGTAATAGGGAACACGCTAAAAGTCGCTGCCGAAACAAGGCTGTGTTGTTGCAAAGTGCCGGACAAGCGGTTTATATTTGAAACCGGCGCAGATACGAGCACGGAAAAAAGCTGTGCACACCAGCCTCCTCTAGTTCTGCAGCTCAAAACACATGAGTCCAGCACGGCGGCTACACATTTCCATGTTGTAAAATTTAAATAAGACAACATCTATATTGCAAATGCAAACCCCTCCATCAACTCAATGTCATTGCCATATTGCCAAAGAGCTGCATGAACAAACACACGACTCGGATCTGAACAGTTGCGATACACAGTGTAGACATCATTTTAGATCAGATCCCAATTGGATACAAAGATACATCAGATTTGGACTGACCGTGTGAATGTAGCCATAGTTAACTACTTTACTTCAACATTTTAGCCATAGTCAACGCTTCATTTACACATGTGGCTGATGCTGTGACTCTCAACCACAAACACCTTCATTACAAACACTTTCTTTCATCCATTTTTTGCGCTCTTCTCTTTAACTTTGGGCAGTCTATAGAACTTGAAATGTTTTTTTTTCCCGGTGCGACCTATTAGTACAGACCAAAACACGACCATTTTTTCAGCAGCAATAATCAGCCAAATATGCAAGTCTGTTCAGTTCAGTGGCATTGTTACGTTCAGTGCCTCCAAAATGACCGACTTCAGGATTGATGACGTGTAGTGAAAACACTCTATTAAGATCGTACGGATTAATTAATGAACCACTCGTTTTAAAATCATCCCGGTCTACTGATATTTGTTATGACATCCGTTTCAAACATTACAATGCTCATGATAACTTTCTCTCCAATGGTTTAACCTCAACTTTATGAAGGGATGTGAATGCTGAACACGTGTTCACGGAGAGTCAGTCATTGGTGCAACCTGTATCGGCGATACATAATTTTGTTTTGTTTTTTGCACACACAAGGCATCTGTTAAAAATATATTCAAAAGTATTATGGGTTTTTAGCGACATGAGAGTAAGTATGTTTATGTAAGTCTGTTTTATAAACATTTTCAATGTTTTAAAGATTTATTGTTTTGATGTTTATAACAATAAATGATAAAATGATGTTTATACAGAAAAGATGGATTCATTTGATCAAGTCACAGTTAGTCTTTTAAATTGTTTTTAAAAAATTGTTTTAAATAAATGCTGCTCTTTTGAAAGTTATTTTCAAAGAATACTGAAAGCTGAATCATTTTCAAAAAAAACATGAAGCAGTACAACTGATAATAATCATAAATGTTTCTTGAGAATCAAATCACCATATTAGAATGATTTCTGAATGATCTCGTGGCACTGAAGACTGGAGTAATGATGCTGAAAATTCAGCTTGGGCATCACAGGAATAAATGACACTTTACTATATATTTACATGTATATTTATTTATAAATTTATAGAGAAGTTATTTTTATTGTGGTAATATTTCACATTATTACAGTGTTTAGGCTATGTTTGATCAAATGCAGGCTTGATGCGTGATCAGGAAAGTGTTTTTACTTGAAAGATGTATTTTATGTGTCAATAAATGTTTTGATAAACTTTTGTGAATTGTCTTATTTTGACAGTAATTAGGAATATTAACTATAATCATGAATTCATGAAAATTATGCCTTAAAAAGGTGTCTTTCAACTTTCACTGTAGGCTACAACCTAATTTAAACGTAAATGGGACGTCCTTTTATAGGCTACAACTACCAGAAAAAGACGTCTTTTCAACGACCCAAAAAAGACGTCTTTTCAACTACCTGAAAAAGACGGCTTTTCACCTTTCACTTTTCAACCACATTTTAACGTAGTTTAGACCATAGACATAATATATACACGCCCTATTGGCCGCTGGAGCGTCAACGGCGCCGCCATATTAGGGAAATCAACTTTCCCATACCTCTCATACCGGGAATTGAGAAAAATGCCTGTTTTGTGCGCTGCTTGGGGCTGTAAAAATCGCCTTCGAGGAAACAGCTTTCGAGGAAGTACCTTTCACAAGCAAGACTGAACGTTTGTTTTTGGTTGTATTTGGTCATGATTTAATTAGTAAGTAACGTTTAGAGATTAAATACTTATTGTGTCACGCAATGTAGTTTTAATAGTTTTTCAGTCGACAATGTAGTTGTTTAAAGCTCAAATATGTGAGCCTATTTAAAAATTTGATCTGAAGTTTTCGGAGTTGCTGCGCCCCCGCCCAGCGCTCGTCTCCCCCGCCTGGAACAGCCGTACCACGGCCAGTGCTTCTGACGGTTGCCGCTGGCTCGGATGTCTCTAGTCTAGAGGTTAAACATGAGATATAATTCGTATAATTTGTGTTTATCTTTGGTCTCATTAATCTATAAATGGTTCCCTGGTAAATAGTTTTGGCTGAAGGCAAAGTAAAGTTTCATAACTTTATATTTAGGCTATTTTAACATTGTATGTTTGACTGAAGCTACTTCTGTTATAATGGCTAGCCTATTACTGATCAATAAAACTGAAATTTAGCACAAAGAGCTAAATATTAAATGTATTTTTTGTGTGTGTTTATTCTGTAGTTGAAATGTCTTATTCTATAGAATTATTAATAAACTATTATCAATATTTTTACATTCATTTTTATTTGCTGTATACTATTTGTTTATTTTATTGACTAAACTATTTAATAGTACTTTTCATTTTATGTTATAATTACTATTTGCATTGCACTGCATGCCCAGTTGTACCACAACATATGTATTATCATAAATGATCCATCAGTTATCAATGTTATTGCTAAAATCTGGTCAATCAGATAAAATGCTTTTTCCACAATGAGCAAACTTAAATATCTCAGTATGGGGATCTTCACCATTCTTATCCAAGAATGTTTTTATCCAGAAAAACGCAGCTCACCCGTTTACTTACATTTAATTACAATGCAGTCTTGACCTCCGCAAAATGGCGGACCCGTTAACGTATCGCAGCAACGTTCCAAAGCGGCCAATAGGGCGTCTATGTATATATTATGTCTATGGTTTAGACGTCTAGCAATGTCGTCTTTTCAACGAGTTTTTGCTGGGTGAATACAAAAAATAAATAGCCTATAAATTCTCAAAACCAAAAGTTAACAAATATTTTGTTAGATACAAAAAATAAATGATGAACAACCGAGTAAATAACGCACTTGAAATATAGGCTCATCGTGATGTTTTTTTTTTTTTTTCCTGACCAACAAAGTATCTTTTTAAACGATTAGGTAAGATAGTTAAATTTGAAATCAGTTAAATTGATATGGAATAGCGTGTGTGGCCCATTGCAAATGGCAAAATTTTCAAAGATTTAGTTTTAAATGCAAATAACAAAATATAAACAGCATAATATTTGAATTCACGCAACAGCCAAGCGTCACGGAGCACAACAGAAACAGGCGGTGACGCGAAATGATTCACTTTTACATGTAAAACGAAGCATTGAGAACTTTGTAAGTGTACAGACCGTTTAATAAGAGGATCCTTTATAAAGAGTCCACTTTGTGTATCACATCAGGAGACATCTTTGGAAAACATTCTCCGAACCACTAACTCGTGCTGAAGTGAGCTGAACTGTATGAACAGTGTTCGGGGTTCGACTTATCGCGACCGTTTCTCCTGCCTGTATGCGAAGTGGACTGTCATTTAGTATTTTCTTATTAAACGGTCTGTACACTTACAAAGTTCTCAATGCTTCGTTTTGCATGCAGGGACTCTCAATGTACTGTGTTCAAGTGTGGGGCTATTTTGAGCCTTGTTAGTGGTATAAACTGGATTTCTTTTTACTAATGCCCCCATAAACTATCGTTAGGCTATATGCTAGTTTTAGAGATAAAGCTTTGCATTCGATTATCATGAAAACAAATCTCAGGGAACGATCGACAAGGTAGCTACCAATCTTTTATTAGACCAAAGGTTAATTTTGCGCCGTAGTTCACCTTTAAAGGGTTAGTTCGATATTTTACACTTAAAGCCCTGTTTTAAGGTCGTTTCTGATTAAATAGAACGGTTAAGATTGAAATTTGGACAAATGCTATAGTACCGAGAATTTTAGGTTTCTGTGTTAGCAGAAAAAGATGCTTTCCAAACCTAATCTTTATGATCTAACATTGAAAAGCTAACTTTAAAGTATGTTTTAAGTTAAACACAAAAACACATACCGTGATAAAAAAAACCTCTTCGTAGCCTATAATTGTAGAAGTCGTAGAGAAGTCTCCGAAGAATGCAGAATTGTCTCAGGTAGCAGTAGCTATAGTCCTTGATGTTTTAAGCCAAAACTTAGAATAGCAAGAAAAGTCCTGGATGCAGGATTTGTGTTAAAATGAGGTGATCGTAAACTTGGTGTGGGCGGGTCTTTGGCTTGGCGCATGTGTTTAGTCCGTTCAGTCCTGTAAACCTGGGTGGGGCGGGGTCTCGTTATCGCAGAACCATACTTCATAGAAATGTGAGGATGACAACTTGGGTCATGCCTGCACTTTCTACGTCCTCCAACTCAAGTTCCAAAATATCTGCAGTTTAAAAACACACATTTTATAAAAACTGACATACATTTTGAAAAACAATATGTACAGTGCAGAATCAAAGAGTCCAACAACAAAACATTGCCCTTACAACAGCATCTCATTACAGA